ATGGGTTATAGTATTTTCGAGGGACTTTGAACCGGCCTAAGAATATTATAACTTAATCCCTTAGATCTCGGAAGAGGCTAGGATATGATTTCAACGACTAAAAATGGTGTCTTTATCAATAGGGTAGGCTGGCCAACATCGTTGAGTGAGAGCAGATGCCTTGGCATCTTATTCTGTTAGGTTCTTTAGAACACTTTAGGAAAGCTCTGTCGAGTAAGTATAGACCAGGTAGCTTAAATATACTTGAGAAATAAGTTTAGCATTCTTAGATCAATCCCTACCACTCATTCCATTGGAAGCTTGTCACGTGAGGATTATTTTCTTTTCATTCTATTTTCTTTGTATTTACTGTTTTTACCATTTTTCATTGCCTTGACAATTCAACATACTCAACATTAAACATCCATCATTGCCATTGCATTTCCATTTGCTACACCATCAGCCATCACTCCATATCCACCAGCATACACATTTACATTGCCGTGACATTTGTATATATCAAGACTAACTATACTTAGATAGAATAGTGCATTGCTTTGGTTAGACTTTTGTAATTTCACCCAATCCCTGTGGAGACGATACTCACTCATCATTATATTACTTGAGCGATTGTGTATACTTGCACATTATTTGCGTATAATTTATAGTACTCACAACACGCGAACAATATGCATGTTAACTGAACTTACATTACTTCCAGATGAGTAAGATTTCCAAGATCGGGTGGCAGAATTCCAGTCAAATTGTGACCCTTGATCAATCTGTTACAGAAAAAGAAACAACAAAAGAATTAAAAAGGAAATGGATATAATGTCATTCATTGAAATAACTTTTAAGGGTTAACTAGAATCAGGGTAAATTCATGGTTAAAAAAGAGAGAAGAGATCATACATTTGAGTGACGTGACATATAGTGTTGTTTCCATCAGAACAATTACATACAATATTGCTTTCAACAAGTTTAGTTATGGTATAGTTCCATGAACTATCACTGCAAAGGGTTCTGCTAATGGTACCCGCATTCGGATGCTGCATCTTTGAAAATAAGGTTTGAAGAGTTCGCACTGTTGCAGTAAATACACAAATAGATTACCAGAAACAATCATACAATATTCATACTGTATTTAACGTGTGTGTCCATGATTCATTTGACTTATCACCTCTTAATTTTTCAAAAAAAATATTAAGCCTGATGCTTATACCAATAAATATTTAGATATGAATACCGAAACTAAGTCTTTCGAATATATATTAAAGCTGGATAGACATCAATACTCACCCGGATCCAGGTAACAATATATCAAAATTCATATAAACTAATTGCTGGCTTAAGCATGGCATGTGATTAGGTGTAAATATAGGCTTCGTTCAAAATCATATAGTACAATAACGCAAGATAGGTAGGGGGAAGTTCAAAATCTATGGCTAAGAGTGGGGCCAACTAACATGCCAAATAAATGCATTAAGTTGGCTTATAGATCAAAGTTGAGTTGGAACTTAAATCACCATATGCAGCTCTTGATGCAATGAGAGTAACATATTTAGAATCAATAACTTCAAATGGGAAAAAAACATGGAAAACCAGTTGACATATAGTCCCACACCAAAAGCAATTCTAGTAGTAAACTACATCAATAATTATACTATTTATCTGTTTGCTTTCTGGAAAAAAAATGTTGGGGATTTAAAGAAATAAGTAGAAATTTGCTTCATAAGAAAGTGGTAGAAACTAGAAAGTGCAGGGTAAGGATAGAATCCTCAATTTTCCCGGTAACCAAACAGAACAGAGGTAATACATTAAAGCAGAAAACGGATCATAAAAGAAAACCCATATGAGAAAAGTGCAAAGAGAGAGAGGATTAACTTAAAAGGAATTTTTTAAAATGGTTTTTTGTGTGGAAACATGGTAGCAAAAGAAATTGAAAACAAAGTCCTCACTTTGATGAACTCTTTTGAACTACTCCAAAATGCAGAAACATCTTTGTTTCCATACATTTTTCTCAGTATCAAAGCAGTGCATGTAACATAACACTTTTAATCAAAGAATTGTTCAGAAACTAAAGATTTTTTCTCTCCAAAACCTGTGACCAAACAGAGCAAGTTCATTAAAAGGAACAACACCCAAATCCTTAAATTTTTCTCATTTCTTTTCTCCTTGAATTCTCAGGAACCAACCAGAGTAACATTAACTTCAACAGTTACATCAAAAGGGAGAAACGCCACACACACAAAAAAGAAACTTATAGGAAGTTCTAAAAAAAGTCGGTCGGGTGTCTGCATACCTTCAGATTCAGGCAAAAGTTGAGCATTTGACCCGAACTCAGTGAAACAATTCAAAGCCAAAACTCCCAGAAAAAGAACAGAAACCATCTTAAATGCAGAAAAAACAAACCCCATTTTATTCTTCCTTCAACTCCAAAATTCTCTTCTTTCACTCGACTTAAAACCAAAAAAAAAATACAATAAACTCTTCGAAACAAACGAAGCAAAACTCAATGCTGCAGTTAGACCTATCCTAATTTCCCTTGAGAAACAAAGTGGAGCAATTGACATGGAGAACATAAGTAGGACCTTGTTAATTTGATTGAAAGAAAAGCAAACGTAGGGAAAATGAACATGAGTTTTTTATGTCGGATTTTTTTGGTTTGATGTTTTAATGTAAAAGAAAAGAAAAATAAAAAAGTTAAGAGTAAAAGAACAAAGAAGAAACAAGAATGGAGTAGGAAGCCGCCAGGTAAGGCTTTGTATATCAACGGCCGCCGGCACACGCTTTGCTTTTATGATGCCTATATTTTATAATTCACTTTATAGAGATAAAATTTATATTTAAAAAAATTATACGTTAAACGTTAAATTTTTAAATAAGATTAAAATTTTAAATTTTAATATTATAAATAACATCAATTAGCTTAATTAATACATTAAATAAATGTAAAGCAGTATAACGAATTAATTTTACATGCACAATTCCATATGAACTTGTATGTTTTAGACAAATAAACTATGATTATATATATATATATATTTAATTTTACATATACATATATTATACCAACGATAATATTAAACAAATTAAATTTAATCAACATAATTATAATTTTTTGTACAGTATATCATAATTATATTTGTAATTAAATTTCAGTCATTGCATTGATTTGTCCCGGAGTTTTAAAAATATTGGTTGTCCCTTGTTCCCTTATGTAATGGGGTAAGGGCAGATAAGATAGTAGGCTGCCTCCAACACTAGGTTGAAAGCAACTTCCGTAGGAGACCTCCAAATTATGAAATACCCTACATAGGACTCGATCCCACTACCTCAAGGTTAAGAACCTTATGCTCTACCAGCTTTCAAATCTCGGAAGGAACATATTATTTAATTGAATTTATTGGGTTAGGTTTGAATTCAAACTTTCTACCTAATCCACATGTAATATTTGTATTCTTAATATACGGTTAAAAAAATTTAACTGAAAGTGTTAATATTTTTTAATATTTTTAATAAAGTATTATCGGAAATGTTAATTTCATTAACTAATTTCCTGTAGACCTTAATATTAATATTTTTGGTGAAAAATAAAATTTTGGGTAGCATTTTACCGGATATGTTAAATATTTTTTGTACCGTCCAATATTAACATTTTCAGTAAAAAATTAATGTTTTAGATAACGCTTTACCGATAATGTTAAAAAAATATTAATATTTTTATAACGTTTTTTTATAATCATATATTAATATTGTCGCATGATATATATCAATCCACTTTGAAGATTAAACCCGAAATTTACGTGGCTAATCCGAGTATGCACAGTACCATTAAGTCGCACAAAAATGAATTCTTTTACCGATAAAAAAATTTATTAAAAATATAAAAATTTATAATATGATGTTTTTTTTATAATTTTTAATAAAAAATTAGTCACTTAAATTCTTGAAAATTATACCATCGTCTTCAAATAAAGCATTTTTAACATTTAATTAATTTAAATTTAATAAAAAATTATTATTATTCCTTGAGTTATCGAGTTTCAGCACTAGAAATATTAGAAATACAAATGTTTAATGTCAAATGATTGAGATTACCTTTAAATAGGTATTGCCTTTTATTTATCTTAATTTAATCGAAAAAATACATTATTCAATAAATATATTGCCACAACTACCTAAGCAAGTTCGGTAGAAATTAAATTGATGGTCAGGCTGAAACAAGTTTGAGCTGTCACCAGCGAATCATATCCCCAACGCAGTTTCGTTTGCTTTCTACGTGCATCTATATAAAAACCTAGCTATTTTTAGTACTCACAGTTGTGAATAATTAAGATTAATGAAATCTTGAGGAGAAAAAAATGTTAATTATAATTCAATTTCTCCACCTTAACCTAAATTCTTGGTATACTATAATGCCAACATGGCAGAGTTTTATTATTGATCATTTAATTAATTCTTTAAACGTTAGCTTTTTGTTGTTTTTTTTAAAGAGAATGTGTCTTTTTTATTAATACGTGACAAATACAAATTAACATATATTTAAAGACAACTTTTAATCTTTTAATATTAAATATTATCAAACATTTTACGAATCTTGAACTCGAAGAGCACTTTAAAAAATATATATAACAACAAACATGCAAATATTATACACAAAAGCGTGCAGGCACATGGGCCTCAGTGCACATACTTATCAGTTGGTGATTAGTTCCCTCAAATCATACAAATATAAACATTTATTTTTCTATGCAACTTGGTCCTTTTACCATTATTATTATCATTCAAGTGATGGGACTACATAGTTTGTTGTTCCTAGTCCTACAAAGTTTACAACAAAGGTTGACTTGGTCGATCTCAATGTACGAGCCCTCTTCAAGCTCTTCTTTCTTCGTCTTTAAGCATAAAGTAAACCCCAAAAGTCTCCCCCATTTTTACTCCATTTTTCATGCACTTTAAAGCCATGTTTTGCATTCAAATGTGATTCAATCATCTTTCACAGAATAGCAACACACAAAATGCTAGCTTTTCGACTTGTTCTAGCTTCTGTCTTTCTTGCTTGTTGCCTTTCGAGTTCTGTATTTGGAGCAAAACTTCCGGACAACGAAGGTATTGTCTTGTTGGGTTTTTGTTTTCCACACACTCTGATGTAATATATGTAAGGTTTAGGGTTTGATTTTTTTTTTGGGTTTGGGTTCAGTGCAACATTTGAAGGACATTGGGAAGACACTGGGGAAGAAAGACTGGAACTTCAGCGTAGATCCATGCAGTGGAGAAGAAGGGTGGGCTACGCCCAATGCGTTGAAGGGATTTGAAAATGCAGTCACATGTAATTGCTCCTTCCCAAATGGCAATGATACAGTCTGCCATGTCGTTAGCATGTATGTAAATCTCCTCTTCTTTTCGATGTCTCTACTTTTTGGTCAAATACTGGTTTTGGTCCTTTTATTTTCATTTGACCTAGTTTAGTTCTTTTCTTTTTTAGTAATATAGGGTAGTTCAAATATAACTCTAAACAATTTAATATTGAACACTCACACCCATTACATTTATGGTGCTCGAACTCGAAACCTCAAAGAATAACAATAATTATTTTACCATCGAGTCCGTTTGGTTCTTGTTAGTTTAGTTGCTCTATCATTTCTTAATAGTACTTGTTTTGGGTAAAGTGTTTACCGGGTTTTTTTCCTTTAAAAACATTCCTTCGAGTATAGAAAAATTCATGTCTAGAAGAGATTTTTCAAGAAAATATCACGTTAATGTTAAAAATATAAGGATTAAATCTCTGATTTGAAGTGGAGTAGAGGGACCAAAATCACAATTTTACCACTCTTATATAACTATACAATAATCAATTACCAGTAAAGCTTCTGATTAAGGAAATACAAATTTTATTTTATTTATTTTTTAACAAGAGTTTGTTGGTTGATGCATTAATTAATTTAAAGGAAGAGAGCAAGTTGTTGCCTGCCTCTTCAAATGAGAGAAACAGTACGTAAAGCTCACTAGTGTTGACTTTGAATCCCATCCGCCTATCTTATAACTATAGCTGTCTCACTCATAGTTTAGTCAGTGTCAGAGAATATATTCTTATGTAAACCACACATTTAGTATCTAAACTATTAATTTTGATCCGTTTCAATATCTAAACTTTTAATTTATTTAAAATCATACCTAAAATTTAATTTTTTCTTATTTCATTTTAGCACCCGTCATTAAAAATTTAACGCATTTAGTACTTAAACTTTGGATCGTTTTAGTACCTAATCTTTCATTATGTTCAAAATTTAACGTTAAATTTTGAACATGTTACCAAAATGAAACAAAAATTAAAGTTTTTAACGGTTGGTATTAAAATGAAACAAAAATTAAATTTTTAGGTATATATTTGGAAATAATAAAAGTTTAGATATTAAAATAGACTAAAATTAATAGTTTATGTACTAAATATATAATTTACCCTTTTTTACATAGAAAAATGGGTAAAGATACGATAAAGTAAAACTAATCACGAGAATAAATATATGTTAAAATATATTATAGGTCATCAATTTATATTTAGATGATTGTTTTAATTATTAAAATTTTAAAAAAATATAAATTAATTAGAAATTTATTAATATATTATAACATTATAATGATCATTTTATAATAATTTCATAAATTTAATAATTTTTTATAATAATTTAATAACATTTAATAATTATTCTATAATTTTAACACTTTTTTTTATATCTTTTGAAGATTCAGTCATCAAAACTAATATTTCTGCATTGTTTAGTGAATTTTAATATATTTTTATGTATGTATATATTAAATTTATATAGATTTATAAAACTTAATCTATCAAGTAATGGGACAAATAGAAGAGACAAAAGACATGGAATCAAAAGCTGCATGTTACTCTGCATGATGGTGTAATCCAAGTATCTAACATGAATCAGGCATCATGTAATCATCCCACATGTTGAAATTACAATTATTAAAAGATTGATATGATTTAATTATAAAAGTTAAAAAAATTCATTTATTTTAGTAAATGATTTTTATTTTTTATTAATAAGAAATTAATTTTAGTATGGATTTGTCATTGTCAATTCAATGGCAGTCAGTCTCAATGCAATTTTGTATTTGAAACAGAATGCTTAAGGCACAGAATCTCCAGGGCAGTCTCCCAAAAGATTTGGCCAAGTTCCCTTTCCTACAAGAAATGTAAGCTCAAACTCTTGTCAACACCATGGAAATCCATTCTTACAGAGCATAAATAACACTGTTGATGTTGTTGCAGTGACCTCAGCCGCAACTTCCTTAATGGCTCAATACCCCCAGAATGGGGATCCATGCAACTTGTCAACATGTATGTTCTACAATATCCAATGTTGCTTAATGATTTTACAGCATGTGAAATTAACATGAAGATTACCGCAGTTCTCTTCTTGGAAATCGCTTAACTGGTTCGATCCCAAAAGAGCTGGGAAATATAAGTACTCTTAGCAGCTTGTGAGTTTCTGATATCCAGTTGTAGTTCTTGCTTTAATATTGCCATTTAGAGGAATCTTTCTTTTAATTGTGAAAATTTCATGTAGAACAACCGAGTTCAATCAGCTTTCAAGACCATTGCCTCTAGAGCTCGGGAATCTACCGGCCATCAAAAGATTGTACAAGTCTTAATCTTTAAATGCTCATAAGAATTTGATTTATTACTACTTTCATTATGTTTGATTAAATGTTTCTTCATAATCCATTGTTGTTATTGGTGCTTAGGCTTCTTAGCTCTAACAATTTTACTGGAAAAGTACCTGAAACGTTTGCCAAGCTGACCACATTGAGAGACTTGTAAGATCTTGTTTTTTCTGATTTATCAGGCTTTACTTATAGTTCTATATTACGAATTGAGAATTGATCATTTTGTGTTTCTTGACAGTCGGATTAGCGATAACCACTTCACCGGAAAGATTCCTAGCTTCATCCATAATTGGACAGAACTTGAAAAATTGTAAGCTGAACACTTTAGAACAACAGCAGTTCATTCATTGGGACTTTTCTTTATAATTTACTTACCTACATGGAGTATTGGTAATGACAGAGTGATACAGGGAAGTGGTCTGATGGGACCAATTCCATCAGGCCTTGGTGGTCTGGCAAAATTAACTGACCTGTAAGTTGGATTTCAGTTTTACTATTCTTCAAACCTAGAGATTGGAACATTGCAATTGTATTATGATTTATATACATATGAAAATTGTTGATATACAGGAGAATCAGTGACTTGAATGGAGCTGATGCAACTTTTCCACCACTTAGTAGCATGAAGAAAATGAAGATACTGTAAGTAAAACTCCAAAATGAAGAAGATTCCATTAAACAAATACTATATCAATAAATCAAATAACAGATACTTGTGGTTGGATCACAGGATATTGAGGAGTTGCAATCTCATCGGAAAGCTACCTTATTATCTTGGGGATATGACGAAGTTGAAGACCTTGTGAGTCATAAACTTGATTTCTTTCTTTTCTGATATCGCAGTTTGCACATTATCTGTGTTAGATAATGTGTCCTATGTCGATTTTCTCAGAATTTATTTTCTTTTCGCAGAGATCTAAGTTTTAACAAACTCAGCGGAGAAATTCCAAGCAGTTTTTCGGGCCTTATGGACGTGGATTACCTGTAAGTGATTAATCTGATTGTCGGTTTTCCTCTCATTTCCTATAATATCAAGCTGTTCCTGCTGATACTATGAACATAGTTACTTATTAGGAGCTACAAGTGGCTAATCATTCGATATCGATATATAGCGCAGAGTATTTGATTTCATTAAGTTATTATATTGAGCAGGTATTTAACAAGAAACTTGCTTACTGGTTCAGTACCTAGTTGGATACTGGAAAAAGGAGACAATGTGTAAGATTCTCTTCCAAATGTTGGTTCATGCAATGGGAAACTATTAGATTCTCTTCTAGATATGTTTGTTATGAGCTTAGTAGATTGTTCATGAAATGAAATGATAACATCCAAAAGTTCAATATTGGTACAGTGATCTTTCATATAACAACTTTGCTGTGAGCCAAGGGACATCTTGTCAACAGCGGAGCGTGTAAGAATCTAATCTTCATTCTTTTTTTAGAGTGTTTGCGGATGCTTTGTTTATTAGCCATAACTTGCATCTGTGACTTTTCCTGCAGGAATTTGTTTGCAAGCACTTCACCTAACGGTACCTCGTAAGTGATGACTTCTTCGATTTCTCCTTTTTCTTAGGGGTAGTCTGAAAGTTTCGTTTTTCTCAGAAAAAAAATGATACTTTGGTGTAAAGATGATGAAATTTCTCTGGACTTTCTATTGTTCAAACAGGGGAACTGTTTCTTGCATGAGAAGCTTTGTTTGCTCAAAATGTAAGTAGAAAGCTTTATAGATCTTAACAATGTTGAATTCTTTTTGTTTGTGAAGAGTGTGAATCCTCCAGCAGTTTTTCATTTGTTGTTTTTCATGTCTCAGCCTGGTACTCTCTCCATATAAATTGTGGAGGGAGAGAAGTAGCTATTGGAGGAAATGTCACATATGAAGATGATGCAGATGGAGCCGGTCCTTCAAGATTTTACGAAAGCAGAAGTAATTGGGCGTTCAGCAGCACCGGTCACTTCTTGGATGATGACCGTCCCTCGGACACTTATATTTGGACTAACTCGTCGAGACTCTCCATGAATGATCCCAGACTATACATGAACACACGCCTTTCTCCTCTTTCTTTGACTTACTATGGATTTTGTATGGGCAACGGGAACTACACAGTCAACCTCCATTTTGCAGAGATAATGTTCACTAATGACAATACATATAGCAGCTTAGGAAGTCGCTTATTTGACATATATATTCAGGTAGTTATTCATTATATTTTTTTTATCTGCAAAGCTCTGTTGTTAGAGAGATCTTTAGGTTTTAAGTGAAAATTTCAGTTAACTCAACTTATCCATTTGCAGGGCAAGCTAGTGCAGAAAGATTTTAACATTGAGGACGAAGCCGGTGGAATTGGCAAGGCAGTCATAAAAGAATTTCCTGCGTCGGTGACTAACAGTACCTTGGAGATTGACCTTCATTGGTCTGGAAAAGGGACTACTGGTATTCCTGTTAGAGGAGTTTATGGTCCTCTTATATCAGCTATATCCGTAAATCCCGGTACGTTGTAGAATGTTTTAACATTCTTCTCAACTATATATTCTTCATAGTTTCCAGTTGGACATTCAGGAAAACAACGGCATCGATCATACCATCTTTGTAACTTATTCTGTTCAAGCAGATTTTATACCTCCAGCAGAACATACGGGCAGTAGCGGTGGTATATCGGTCGGTTCAGTGGTCGGAATTATAGCTGGATCTGTGTTTGTCATCTTTCTAATTGGGGTATTACTTTGGTGGAAAGGTTGTTTCAGACAAAAAAGCCAATTGGAAAAAGGTATTTGTAGTGAAATATGAGGCTTTAGTAGCTGCCATATAAAAGGTCCTATTGTTCCTTTGGTTCTTTTCCACAGACTTACAAGGTCTACAATTGCAGACTGGTTCATTTAGCTTGAGGCAAATCAAATCTGCCACAAATAACTTTGATGTTGCTAATAAAATTGGAGAAGGAGGCTTTGGTCCTGTTTACAAGGTATTATTCGGCGATCTCCGTAAATGCTTTCTTCTTTTTCTCTTCACCTTGAATGCTCATGTCATAGCCCTTCCTCCAAATATCTTATTGTAAAACTAAGTTGGTGATAAAATCTATTGATATGCAGGGTATTCTGTCAGATGGCACAGTCATAGCTGTCAAGCAGCTATCTGCTAAATCGAAGCAAGGAAATCGAGAATTCGTCAATGAAATCGGAATGATTTCTGCTCTGCAACACCCTCATTTGGTGAAGCTATTTGGCTGCTGTATTGAAGGAAATCAACTGTTACTGATCTATGAGTATATGGAAAACAACAGCCTTGCTCGTGCATTGTTTGGTAGGTTTTGAAACTATTCATGCACTTTTATCATGTATAAATAAATAAATAAAATGTCTGAATTATTCGTTATTTGGTTACTAAAAGGTCCACAAGAATGCCAACTGAAACTAGACTGGCCAACGAGACGAAAAATCTGCATCGGAATAGCTAGAGGTTTGGCATATCTCCATGAAGAATCAAGGCTGAAGATTGTGCATAGAGACATCAAGGCTACAAATGTGCTGCTTGACAAGAATTTGAACCCTAAAATATCGGACTTTGGATTAGCCAAGCTTGATGAAGAGGATAACACACACATCAGCACCCGAGTCGCAGGAACTTAGTATGCTTCACTGTCCTAATTGCAAGTTGATGTAATGTTTTCAATGCAAAGCATGAAAAAAGATTCATTGCTGCATGTACTAAAGTGAAGCTTTGAACTTTGCAGTGGTTATATGGCTCCTGAATATGCGATGCGCGGTTATTTAACCGACAAAGCCGATGTTTATAGTTTCGGGATAGTGATACTGGAAATTGTCAGCGGAAAGAGCAACACGAGTTATCGTCCGAAGGAAGAACCTTTGTATCTTCTTGATTGGGTAATTTTAGGACATTTCAGGTCTCTTGAAGCTCATTCTCAGACTAATCTTTAACATTTGTTCGTCACCATCCAAATTTGTTCTTGCTGTTTTTGCAGGTTCATGTTTTGAAGGAGGAAGGGAACTTATTGGACTTGGTTGATCCAAGAATTGGATCTAATTACAAAAAGGAGGAAGTAATGACAATGATCAATGTTGCTCTTCTATGCACCGATGCTAACGCGGCGGGCCGGCCTGCAATGTCCTCTGTAGTCAGCATGCTTGAAGGCAAGGCTTCGGTCGAGGAATTCGAGACGGATTCGAGCCGTCTGGTGGACAAATCGAACTCGAAGGCGATGATGAAGAAGCTTTACCAGCAGCTTGAAGAAAACAGTGCCCCTGAAAGTCAGGCACACAGCTTGTCAACAGTTGGGCCATGGACTTCTTCTTCTTCATCAGCTGCTGATCTTTATCCCATCACTGTAACTTCTGAGTATTGGCACAACAGAGACCCAGCAAATTAACTAGCAAAATATAAATCGTTAGGCACATCAAACTGCTTTTTATGCAATTGTATTTTTCATTTTTGTACCTACAAAATGTTGTATATATTTTTTTTCTGAATGATAACCTCGGTTTGCAAGTTTTGAGCAAATATTATAAAAATAAATTCAAATTACTTTGTTGATAGGTACTCCCTCCGTACCATAAAAATTGTCTCTTGTTGATTTTTAAAAAGTTAAAATTTTTAAACATCTGAACTTGATTATTTTAAATAATTAATTTTATAAAATATAAAATTGAAAACTACTTGATTGAAGGTTTTTAAAATATATTTTTACATATTTTTATCAATTATAAATTTAGATAATAATTAGTCAAAATTTAAAAAAGTGACAAAAAAAGTTAATAATAGACAATTTTACGGGACAAGTAAGGATGGCAAAAAAATCTGAACCCGACGAGGAAAATCGAAAACCAAATTAAATGGGGACGGGGAAAAACCGTTTATACTAAACGGGGACAGGAAAAACCGTTTATGCTAAACGGGGATGGGGACGGGTTTAGTAATCCCCGCCCCGGTTACCCGATTACCCGGCCCGATAAATATTAAAAATAATTATTATATATATATATATATATAATATTAATAAATTTAATTTAAATTAAAATATATATATATATATAATATTTATATATTTAATTTAAATATATATATACCCGGCCCGATACCCGTTTAAATAACCGTTTATGCTAAACGGGGATACCCATTTCCTCGCGGTTTTCCCCGATTACCCGATGGGGATCCCCGTTTAAATCCCCACGGTTTTTTAAGAGGGGACGGGTACATATTTTTTAAACGGGGACGGGGATGGGGGAACCAATACCCGGCCCGTTGCCATCCCTAGGGACAAGAGAGCATTTAACTCAATCTAATGGGTTATATAGAAAAAGATCACCATATTTGATAGTTTATGTTAAATTAACATTTGAATATCACCATATTTGATAGGCAACAAATATTTTTGGCAAGAGGTATAAGTGGTTCTTGTACTTTTGGAAAAAAATCAATGTGATCTTCGTACTATTTTTTCTCTCAATGCGACCCTCTAACTCATAAAATAAATGTAACACCCTAATCCATTGAATAAAATGTAAATAAAATGTTAAGGGTTACTATTTAAAATGTTACATGGACCATAAATACCGCAAGTCATACCTCAGGGCAAGTCGTTGTGAGGTTGTATTAATGTTTGAATATTAATAAAAATTAAAAGGATTAAAATGCAATGTGAACAAAAACCAGTATGCAATTCAAAATAAAAAACAAAATATCATGAACAAGTGACCAAAATAAAAATAATATAAACAAGGGCATCATATTCGTAATAAAAACACATACATATAAATGACCATAATGAAAACTAATAAAATTAACGTCCCAAATTTGAAATAAATAAGAAACAAAGGAACATGGACTAAAATAGAAAATATGGAAAATTTATAGGGGTTCAATGCATGATTCACCCAATTATATATATAAGCAATTTCTAGAAAAATAAAAAAGGGGAAATCGCACATGAAAACCCAACAAATCTGAATAAAATCGAATCAACCCAGATCCAGTGACCAAGATGTGAATACACGACTAAATATAGGGGACCTAAATTTTTTTCCCAATATGTTAGTATTAAAACATTAAAAATAGTAAATCTCCAAATAAGGACAAAATATTTAAAATAAGTGAAATAAGCCCATCATGTTATGATACGAAAAGTTGAATATGTTGAGATACTGATATCTTTGATAATTCTATAATGTCTAATAAGTAATAGAAAAGCTCATTGTATGTTACATTGAGAGTCGTAGGTACAATTGACATGTCATGAGGTAGAGTGATTATGATTATGATTATGATCGGGTACATTTATATATATTATGTATAGCACTGTTGGTGCAAGTGAGATGATCGCAGTTGAAGTGCATAGTCTGATTTTGATGATAGCACTGAAGTGCTTATTGCGCACACTCGTCTGACTCACGTACCTTGCATTTTCATAAATATGCATTGGGCTATGAACTTGAAAATAAGTTATGAATTTGAAATTAAGTTATGAATCTGAAATAAGTTATGAGTCCGGAAACAAATTCTGATAATGAGTTCTGAAATGTGAAAGTACGAATTATGATAATGAAATGTGAAAGTGGAAATGAAAGTGAAAGATGAAAATAAGATATAAAAGTTTTATATTGTATATGAATGAAAAAGAATATGATATGACTATTATGTATGATAATGTTTATCATGGCTTTGATATGACTATTATAAATAATATTGTTTATTATGGTTTTGATAACATCATGATATGGTAATTTTCAAATCTTTGAAGAGAAAAAAAAAATGGATTGAATAAATTGGTTTGAATATTTAGTGATTTATTGGAATTTAAGTTAATGTTTTAAATTGTTATGATATTAGTAAGTTTTATATAAATGAATACGTTGTTTAGAGGTTGTTAAGTTGTTTGATATTTATATCACTTTAGTTGTTTATAATGCTTCACTAAGTGTATACTTAGCGTGTGATGATTTTCACGCATAAGTCAAGAAGAGCAAGTGAAGTAAGGAGCTGAGCGACATCAATCAATAAAGAAAAGTTACATGTATTAGTAATGACATCCTACTATTTTAAATTTTCTAGATGGCATATATACAAATAAGAAAAGTCTAAGATATGATATTAAGGATATAAACATGAATTTAAGTTTTGTGTTTTAGATAAAAATTATATTTTGACAGAGTAAAGAAATATTTTAAATTAGAAAGTAATTAGACAGTTTATCTTATGATATGAAATAGTATATAACTGTCTAGTTGTTGCCTGAAAATGATATTGATTTGAAGGCTTAAATACTATAATATTATTTTATATGATTACATTATTTATTGAAAACATTAAATTGAATAAATTTTAAAAGTTCAAAATTTTACTAGATTTTTAACCTTAGAATGTATGTAAAGCTTTGTGGCATCTTTGACTCGTATTCGGGTATGCATACAGGTTAAGAGTATTACAGTTACCTTGAAGCTAGGTGACTGGAAAAACGTTCCCAAATCACCCAAGGGTTAACTTTTTCTTATCTCTAGCCTTTGAGCTCTCTCATTGCTCTTGAACTAATCAAAACAAGTTTAAATGAGTTGTTAGCTTATTTTGAACCTTAGGGAGAAGCCAAAAACTTTTTCTTACCAAGTAAAACTCATAAAACGAGCTAGAATCCAGGATTCCATAAACCCCTCCAAAACCCATTTTCATGGAAACTAAGCCAAACCTTACAATTTGGGGCTTGAATGAAAGCTTAGGAGTTGTAGATTGTGAATCTTACCTTATAATTCACAAATGATGCCTAAGATTCTTAAAGTTTCAACCTTTGATGATTTCTTGGAGAGGAAAGAAGTTGGCAAGGATGAGAGGAATAAGACAAGCTTTGTGGTAAAAAAGAGATATCATAAACAAACGTGAGAACATCCCAAATTAATGGGATTCAACCTTTGTTTGAAAATGGGTTAATTACCCACCTAGTACTTCCTTATTTGATTTAAGATTAAAAGCATCCCCTTTAGAAGCTAGTTGGGCTCATCTCAAGCCCAAATCAAATCCACTTGGGTCCAAAGGTTCATATACTAAGGTAAAATCAATCATAAGCCAAACAAATAAACCTGAAACTCCTAACCCATATTTTGGGGTGTTAAAATAAATCTCATGTGAACCTTTAACCAACGTTTTTTCGTCGCTGATTATTATGGTGCTAACGTGGCAATCCACGGTGCTGATGTGATAGTTCATGGTGCTAACGTGGTAATCCAGGGTGACAGATTAATATGGAAGATTGATAACTCCGTAAAAACTATATTTTAGGTCTTTTTACTTAAGTTATTGTTTGTTTAAAAGCCATTTTCACCGCATTTTAGTTGCAATTAAGACATTTCATGCATGTGGTGGAAAGTTTTGCCTCGACTAGTTTTTCTTTATAAAACTGATGTTGCTGATGAGAAGGGTTTTGTGTTGCTGTGATGATGCAGGTGATACGAAATGGCCGAGGAGGAAATTATTTGTCGAGAAAAATTTGTGCGAAGGCCAAAGGAAATGAAGATGATGTGCGACAAGTTTTATCTTGCAAGTCTGATGCAGTACGAGACAAAATTGTTGATATCGCAAGGCCAGCTATCCAATGCACCTCATGTGAACTTCTGCCCCTGCCAAGGATTTGAGACCACTGCCAACTGCCATACCATTCACGAAATGGGCGTAAATTCAAGGGTAGTTGAGGAAATTTCAAGGGACTAAAAGCTCAAAGGAGACTCAACCCGATAATGAATAAAGTGATGATGAAGTAAATCATCAAATGGCTAGATGTTGGGGTGATCTATCCCATATCTGATAACTCTTGGGTTAGCCCTGTTCAATGCTGCTGAAGAAAGGTGGCGTGACCATGGTGAAAAATGAGGATAATGAATTCTTAATGATGAGGACCGTCACGGGTTGGAGGATTTATGTGGACTACCAAAAGCTCAACAAGGGGACGAAGAATGACAAATTCCCCCATTCATCGATCAAATGCTTGATCGTTTGGCGGGCAAGGCATTTTATTGCTTCATCGACGGATATTCTGGGTATAATTAGATTTCCATAACACCAAAATATCAAGAGAAGACCACTTTCACGTGCCCATATGGCACCTATGCCTTTAGGAGGATGCTGTTCGGATTATGTAATGCCCTGACAATTTTTCAGAGGTGTATGATAGCCATTTTTCAGACATGGTGGAAGACTTCTTGGAAATTTTCATGGTTGATTTTTCCGTATCAGGTGATGACTTTGACAGATGCCTCGACAATTTATTTAAAGTGCTAAAGTGATGCGAGGAGGACAACCTTGTTCTTAACTGAGAAAAATGTCACTTTATGGTGATAGAGGGAATTGTGTTGGGCCATAAAATTTCTCGTTGCGGCATCGAAGTTGACAAGGCCAAGGTGGAAGTGACTACGCTTGAAAAAAATTAATTTTACTTACTCTTGCAATTAATTTTTGCCTTAGCAATTTTTACTTATTTACTCTTGCATATTTTCTTGCTATGACAAAAATTATCTGTTCACTTCACACATTTCTTACCTCAGTAAATTTTTTCCATCTGTTCATACCATTTGCTATAACACATTTCTCATTTGTTTATATAATTAGATTTAGACGCTTAGGATTAGTTAGTGACACATATTACTAGCTCTAGCAATCTTTAAAGAATACCTCCAATCTCTGTGGAGACAATACTCACTTACTACTGTATTACTTGCATCGATTGTGTATATTTACACAGATTTGCATGCCATATCACACATGTTTACACGCAATCATAGATGACATGACATATTGGTTAATTTGGTAACTCAAACATAACAGATGGACTGTTACGTTTGCACTATAAACTGTCACGTCAGCCCCGTGAACTGGTACACCAATACTATAACTTCACCGTATTTGATAATTTATGTTAAATTAGCATTTAAATATCACCATATTTGATAAACAACGAATATTTTTTAATATTCAAAATCTAATAATAAATAATAAAAGATATCTTATCATTAAAATTATTACTCTTTTTAAGCAATGGATTCAGATTGTCTAAGATAACTAGACTTGAATATAATTGCATCGAGCCTGCTGCTAAGCTGACTCATTTGACAACTCTGCATCTATTTACCTTCCATATATACAAAAGTTCATATATATTATGAACAAATGAAGAAAGATCAAAATAAATATATTTCCACAACTAAAAGTGTTCATACATGAATTGATTTCCACCTCTGAGAATCAGCCATGCATCAGATATCCTTGTCCCCTATTAATTCAACCTAAATATGTGCTAAAAATTAAATTCAGCAAGGAAAGAAATCAGGAAAAATAAAATATAAAATATACCAGATAACACCAAACGAGAGTATAAATAACTATAGCTCGTTGTTGTAATTCACAACACTTTCCAATACAGTATTGCTTTCAAAGTTTTCAACTTGTTTTATACCTCCTCTTGTCTCTCTAAATCAAAAATGGGATACCGCCATGGATATCATCTGAACTTTTGCAGTTGCAGCATTTCCTTTTTCATTGTTTTTCTGATCTCATGGCCCGACCGAGTGGAGTCATCTGAACTCAGTGCTGGCTGTGATTATTTCAAAGGGAGTTGGATAAAAGATGATACGTACCCTCTTTACAACAGTGCGAGTTGTCCTTTTATACACAAAGGATTCGACTGTCAAAGGAACGGACGTCCCGATAAACTCTACCTCAAATACAAATGGAAGCCCACCGCTTGCTCATTGCCCAGATTTAATGGCTTGGATTTCTTGAAGAAGATGAAGGGGAAGAAGATACTGTTTATCGGGGACTCGATAAGCTTGAACATGTGGGAGTCGTTATTATGCATGGTTCATGCAGTGGTGCCGCAACCCAAATACAGTTTAACCAGTGCAGGCAACCACTCCACCTTTTCACTACCGGTGAGTTTTTTGTTATTTTCGATTGATTTATAAATATTATTTTAACAAATTTTGATTTTAAAAAAGTGAATATTCTTTGCAGGAGTTTGGGATATCGCTGGAGTATTCTCATAACGTGTTTCTCGTTGATCTTGTTCAAGAACCTAGAGGTGTAGTCTTAAAGCTTGATTCGATCGTCAATGGAGATTATTCCTGGAAAGGATATGATATCCTCATCTTTAATTCTTGGCATTGGTGGGTTCATACAACTAAAGGAAAGAATCAACCGTGAGTATTATTTTTTTAGTCTCATTATATTTATAATGATTTTTTTATATATCTTTTTTTGGAGTTGATTGCATCACATGTCCCCAAACTATAGCCCTCATCTTAAATTGGTCCTTAAACTTTTGAATATTCTAATTTTATCCACAAACTATTACACTCAGTCTAAATTAATCCTTAAACTTTTGAGCATTCTAGTTTCATCCATAAACTATGATCCTCTTTCGAAATTGGTCCCCAAACTTTTGAATATTCCAATTTTATCCCTAAATTCATCCAAATATGTGATTAGTTTCAACCATAATTTAACCTAATTTTTTCAAACATATAATAATATAAATTAGCCTAATGATTTTATGAACAAGGTATGTGATCAGTATTTACGCATAGTTTGGGATGAAATTGGAATGTTCAAAAAGTTTGGGGACCAATTTAGAATGGAGGTCATATAGTTTGGAGATAAAATCGAAATGTTCAAAATATTGAGGATTGATTTAGAATGATATTTATATTTTAGGAATGAAAATGAAACATTTACAAGTTTAGGGATGGATTTAAAATAGGGGTCATACTTGGAGAAAATGTGATGTAATTAACTCTATTTTTTGACGTATTAATGGTTTATATTGTTGATATGGAATTAGATGGGAATTCATTGAATATAGAGGAAAGATATACAAGGATATGGATAGATTGATGGCCTTCAAAGTGGGACTAACTACATGGTCCAAATGGGTTAATTCCAATGTTGATCCTCGTACCACTCAAGTATTTTTCCAGGGCATCTCTCCTGTTCATAACTGTGAAGGACAAACCACACCATTCCCTGGAACAACTTATCCCGGACCTCTTCCGCCAGCGTTGTCGGTCGTGAAGGACGTTCTTCGATCGATGTCGAAGCCGGTCACTTTGCTCGATATAACTATGCTTTCTCTGCTAAGGAAAGATGGTCATCCTTCTCTTTATTTTGGGAAGGAAGGAAGCGATTGTAGCCATTGGTGTCTTGCTGGAGTCCCTGATTCTTGGAACGAAATTCTCTATGCATTGCTTTCGAACTCCCATGGAGCTAGGGACTTTGATTTAGATTATGAGTTGTTTTAATCTTGTATTTCTAGCTTAATAAATTGTGTTAATTTTAAAATTTACAAGTAGACCTTCTTCTATTCCATATTTGCTTGTCCTTTCTTATAAATTTTAGGATCTTTAAAAATAAATAAATTATTTAACTGATAAAGTTAACTATATTTTAACGAAATGATCAAAATTGAATGATACTAATTGTTTAAAGATTGGTATAGAATATTTTAAAGTTTAAGGGCTAAGTTAGAATGAGGTTATAATTTAGAGATTATATAAAATATTTTGAAGTTTAGGGATCAATTTAAAATTACTCATTGTTTGAAGACATCTCATGTAATTATACCCTTCATGTTTTGTTCAAAAAAATTATTGGATTTGACTATAAATATGAAAGATAAAGTCAACTCCAACTAATAGTCAGTATGGAGTATTGTCTAAGATTTCATTTGAACATAATGTGGGAAGCAATTAATTGTAAGATGTATCTTTCTTTTATTAATTAGTTTTTTAAAATTAATCCATAATCACCAATTAAACATTATCCTAGAATTTGAACTAAACATAATACGAAGGAAAGTTCTACTACGCATTAATCTAATTTAAAAAATTAAAATTCTAAAAAAAACTCAAACGAATAATTATAAATTAATTAAAATTTTAAAAATAAATTATTTAAAATAAAATATTAATTATAATATTTTTTTCATAATCTTTTTTACAATGTTTGGATCGAATACCAATCCCTAAATTAAAAAACCTTAAATATTTTTTCCTTGCTGTTAAAAAAGATTATGAAAAATAATATAATTAATATTTTATTTTAAATAATTTACCTTCAATTTTTTAACTAATTTATAATTATACGTTAAGTCCTTAAGAATTTTATATTTTTATAAATTAAATTAATGGTGCTCAGCGTGCTCATCGCTGGTGGTGTTTACTACATATTTTTCTTTAATGTTTTATAAAATTTATTATTAAAAGGAAAGAAAACGATGAATGAATTATAAAATTCAAAAATTGGAGATTATGCTTGTTATAGAACTTAACCAGAGAACATGTTGTATAGAATGGTTAATTTATAGAATAGACAAGCATGACTAATGCATAAACAAACTAATAAATCCCTAACTATGCATACATGTGTTAATTATCACGTACCAAGTTCTTCAAACTATCACTGTATTTTTCTAAATAGTGAAAGTCGATGCTCAAAAATAGCAAATCAGTAGCATGATACACACTGCATAACCAATAACTTTCTCCTTACAAATAAGCAATATATCATACAATTACATTTGAGATTATAACAATTTTTTCACGTGACACACATAAGTATATACAACCCTACAAACAAAGCAGATAATTGACACACAAAGCAAGAACTTATAAACGAGGAAGATCTCCAACCAATGGGGAAATGTGTCATTTATGTGGTGGATTTTGTTGTTTAAAACAATTGAAGTTGAATAGAATACGATCAAACTTTTTAATAATCATTAAAATTATTACTTTTTATGTTGTTGGTTTGGATATTATATGAGCTTTTGCAGCATTTTCTTTTCCATTGTTCTTCTGATTTCATGGCCGGACCGAGTCGATTCGTCTGAACTCTGAGGTGGCTGTGATTATTTCAAAGGGAGCTAATATGTGGTAGATTGGTTTCAGGTTGGATTATAAGGATAATTGTGTTTTTATCGAGAGGAATTTTCTTTTGAGGAAAAAGGTATTGTATTTTGTTTATGGATTGAGGAAAGCTGTTCGATCGGAATTGTTTATGGCTCGGTTTGGTTCTGATAGCTTGGCATTGCTTGCTTGACAAAAACGTTCAAAGGGAAACTAAGAGTGCATTTGTTAGATATGTGACTAAAGTTTTGGTTTGTCTTGTGGTGGGAGTAATGCTGTGGCTATTGAAGACACTTTCAGTGAAGGTGCTGGCCTCTTCTTTCCATGTTAGTACTTATTTCGACCGAATCCAGGATTCGTTGTTCAATCAGTATGTAATCTGTTGTGAAATTCGGGTTAATTTCCACCAATAACAGATTCACCTTGAAAACTATTATCTAGGTGACTAGTGTGAAAACGATTGTACTAAAAATCACCCCAAGGTAGATTCCCAGGAAAGAGGAGGGGTCACAATGGTCCCTCTTAAAACCCACTTTCCTTAGACAGAACTACCAAGACAAGTAATTTTAATAGGACAATAATTGACAACAACTATACCCGACAATAGCTATTAAATAGACATAAAAGAGAACACCAAAATATTTCACTAATAGAGGAAATATTACAAAGAGAGAAAGAATACAAATAGCCTTTAAAATAGAAGAAGGCTTATATTTGTGGGATAATTAACTAAGGAGGAGGATGGCTTTATTTATAACAAAAGAATTTTCCCTCCTCCTTATACACAACCAATGTGGGACTTTTGCCAAAAACCAACAAATCTCCACCTTGGCAAATTCCACACACATCTCTAAAAAAAACAATCTTTTAATTTGTAACAATATTGACCAAATCTAAACAATGTTTAAACTTGACCGCAGTTACCACTTTTGTCAACATATCAGCAGGATTCTCAGTGGTCCGAATCTTCTGGATTATGACTCCACCTTCTTATAGAATCTCTCGTACAAAGTGATATCGAACATCAATGTGCTTCGTCCTTGCATGGTAAACCTGGTTCTTTGCTAAATGAATAGCACTCTGACTGTCACAGTGCACTTTGATGTGCTTTTGTTCCATTCCCAATTCACCAAGCAACCCTTGAAGCCAAATTGCCTCCTTCACAGCCTCTGTAACTGCCATATACTCTGCCTCTATAGTAGACAAAGCCACTGTTGACTGTAAGGTGGACTTCCAACTGACTGGTGCCTTTGCAAATGTAAACACATAACCAGTAGTTGATCGACGCTTGTCCAAATCACCTGCATAGTCTGAATCACAATACCCAACTACACACTGACCATCTTGTTTGTCCTGCTGAAAGACCAAACCAACATCTACGGTGTTCAGAATATACCGCAGAATCCATTTCACAGCTTGCCAATGCTCCTTTCCAGGATCATGCATATACCTGCTCACAACCCCAATTGCCTGTGAAATATCGGGTCTCGTACACACCATTGCATACATCAAGCTACCAACATCACTTGCATACGGAACCTTTGACATGTATTCCCGTTCTGCATCATCCTTAGGTGACATGGATGCACCGAGCTTGAAATGAGGAGCAAGAGGTGTACTAACTGGTTTTGACATCTCATTTATGCCAAAACGTTTTAGTACCTTCCTCAGATATTCTTTCTGAGACAAACAAAGCCTCCCCAATTTCTTATCCCTTGATATCTCCATGCCTAGAATCTTCTTCGCTTCACCAAGATCCTTCATCTCAAACTCCCTGTTCAATTGAGTCTTTAGTTTCGCAATTTTTGTCTGACTCCTGGAAGCTATCAGCATATCATCAACATAAAGAAGAAGATATATATAGGATCCGTCTTCTAGCTCGCGTATATACACACAATGATCATCTTTTAATTTGTAACAATATTGACCAAATCTAAACAATGTTTAAACTTGACCGCAGTTACCACTTTTGTCAACATATCAGCAGGATTCTCAGTGGTCCGAATCTTCTGGATTATGACTCCACCTTCTTCTAGAATCTCTCGTACAAAGTGATATCGAACATCAATGTGCTTCGTCCTTGCATGGTAAACCTGGTTCTTTGCTAAATGAATAGCACTCTGACTGTCACAGTGCACTTTGATGTGCTTTTGTTCCATTCCCAATTCACCAAGCAACCCTTGAAGCCAAATTGCCTCCTTCACAGCCTCTGTAACTGCCATATACTCTGCCTCTATAGTAGACAAAGCCACTGTTGACTGTAAGGTGGACTTCCAACTGACTGGTGCCTTTGCAAATGTAAACACATAACCAGTAGTTGATCGACGCTTGTCCAAATCACCTGCATAGTCTGAATCACAATACCCAACTACACACTGACCATCTTGTTTGTCCTGCTGAAAGACCAAACCAATATCTACGGTGTTCAGAATATACCGCAGAATCCATTTCACAGCTTGCCAATGCTCCTTTCCAGGATCATGCATATACCTGCTCACAACCCCAATTGCCTGTGAAATATCGGGTCTCGTACACACCATTGCATACATCAAGCTACCAACATCACTTGCATACGGAACCTTTGACATGTATTCCCGTTCTGCATCATCCTTAGGTGACATGGATGCACCGAGCTTGAAATGAGGAGCAAGAGGTGTACTAACTGGTTTTGACATCTCATTTATGCCAAAACGTTTTAGTACCTTCCTCAGATATTCTTTCTGAGACAAACAAAGCCTCTCCAATTTCTTATCCCTTGATATCTCCATGCCTAGAATCTTATTCGCTTCACCAAGATCCTTCATCTCAAACTCCCTGTTCAATTGAGTCTTTAGTTTCGCATTTTTTGTCTGACTCCTGGAAGCTATCAGCATATCATCAACATAAAGAAGAAGATATATATAGGATCCGTCTTCTAGCTCGCGTATATACACACAATGATCATATTTGCTTCTTGTGTACTTCTGCCCTATCATAAACTTGTCAAATCGCTTGTACCACTGCCTTGGAGATTGCTTCAATCCGTACAGCGATTTTTCTAATTTGTACACCATCTCTTCTTTTTCAGCAACTTTGAATCCATCTGGCTGAGTCATGTAGATTTCCTCATCCAAGTCTTCATGTAAAAATGCAGTTTTTACATCCATCTGAACTAGTTCCAAATCCAACTGCGCTACCAAAGCCAACAAAATTCTGATGGAGGAATGTTTTACAACTGGAGAAAATACTTCATTATAATCAACTCCCTCCGTTTGAGCGTAGCCTTTAGCCACCAATCTTGCTTTGTAGCGGATGTTATTCTTGTCAGGAAATCCATCTTTCTTTGCATATACCCACTTGCACCCAATTACCTTCTTTCCCTTCGGAAGACTAGCTAGTTTCCACGTCTGATTCTTTTGAAGGGATTGCATTTCTTCATTCATGGCAATCCTCCACTTTTTATGTTCTGAACTTTGAACTGCTTCATTAAAAGTGGCAGGAACATCATCAATTGCAATTGGTGATGCAAAAGAGACCATATCAGCATAACGAGCAGGTTGTCTAATGGTCCTCTTTCCCTTTCTGAGTGCAATTGATTCATGTTGCTGTGGAGGTTCTTGGGTCTGAACCTCTTCTTCATCTGACTCTTCTTCTACCATAGGAGAGTCAACATCATTTTCTTTACTGGTTGGGACAAATTTGCTTCCTTCAAACTCCACCTTTTTGGGAGTTCCATCTGTCTGCTCCAATTTTTCTGAAGTCACCTTTCTCAACATGGTAGATTCATCAAAGGTAACATCCCTGCTGAAGATTATTTTCTTTGTTTCTGGACACCAAAGACGATAGCCTTTCACACCAGAGGTGATCCCCATAAAAATCGCCTTCTTTGCTCTTGGATCCAGCTTTGACTCCTTAACATGGTAGTATGCAGTGGAACCAAACACATGTAAGGAATCATAATCTGTAGCAGGTACTCCAAACCATTTCTCTAATGGTGTTTTACCACCAATAGCAGTCGATGGTAAGCGGTTGACAAGGTGACAAGCATAGACCAAAGCCTCAGCCCAAAATTCTTTGCCTAACCCAGCATTAGACAACATACACCGAACCTTCTCCACTAATGTCCGGTTCATACGCTCTGCCACTCTATTCTGTTGTGGTGTACCTCTGACAGTGAAGTGCCTAACAATACCTTCCTCTTCACAGACTTTCAGAAATGGATCATTTTTGTACTCTCCACCATTGTCTGTACGGAGACGTTTGATTTTTCTGCCTGTTTGAGTCTCCATCATCTTTTTCCATTTAAGGAAAAATCCTAGCACCTCATCCTTTGTCTTCATTGGATACACCCAAACTCTCCGGGAAAATCATCAACAAAGGTGACATAATAGTGTGTTCCTCCCAATGAAGTTGTCTTGGAAGGCCCCCATACATCTGAATGAACATAATCCAAAATACCTTTAGTATCATGGATTGCTGTTCCAAATTTCACCCTCGTCTTCTTCCCTTTGATGCAATGCTCACAAAAAGCTAATTTGCAAGCCCGTGCACCCTTCAATAATCCTTGATCTATCAGTAATTTCAAGGATTTTTCACCAACATGCCCCAAGCGCATATGCCATAACCTGGTTGCTTCTGACTCCTGTTCATCAGTAGAAGCTGCCACTGCTGCTGTCCCAACAATTGTACTACCCAGAAAGTAATACACATTGTTTCTTTTTCGGATTCCCTTCATTATCACCAGTGCACCAGAGATAATCCTCATAATCCCATCTTTTGCCCTCACTTCTAAACCTTTTGACTCTAAGGTTCCCACAGAGATGAGATTTCTCATTAAATCTGGTACATAATGGACACCTGTTAAGGTTCTGATTGATCCATCCTGATTCCTCAAGCGAATTGAACCAATCCCAAGTGTGTCAAGAGGGGAATTATTTGTTGTGTAGACAATTCCACCTTTTAGTTCTTTAAAATCAAAGAACCATTCTCTATTGGGGGTCATATGGTGGCTACAAGCTGAATCTAACAGCCATGAACTGGAACAGCTGGTTGATGGCGTAGCAGCGAATGCGAAATCTGAATCTCCATCATCATACTCAACCACATTTGATTCTGAGACAGCCTTCCCCCTTTCAGGTTTGCCTTTATTCTTTAGCCTGGGACATTCTTTCTTCCAGTGCCCTTTTTCTCGACAAAAGGCACATTCATCTTTGCTCAATCTGGACTTTGACTTCGATCTCCCTCTGCTTCCTTTATTCTGACTCTTGGAACGGCTTCTAACAACAAGAGCTTCTGCTTCGACACTTGTGTTTTCTTGTTTGTCTTTCTTTCTCAATTCATAACTATACAAGGCAGCAGTTACTTCACTGAGAGACACATCAACCTTCCCATTAAGTAGAGTAGTTTCAAGATACTCAAACTCATCAGGAAGTGATCCCATCAACATCAGAGCCAGATCTTCGTCTTCAAAAGTCACGTCCATATTCATCAGATCAGTCACCAGCTGATTAAAGCTAGTAATGTGATCATTCATAGTGGTACCTGGTACATAGTTGAAGCGGAACAGTCTCTTTTTCATGTAGAGTTTGTTCTGACCGCTTTTCTTCAAAAATTTCTCCTCCAGTGCCTTCCACAATTTACTTGCAGAAGTTTCCTTAGAAAATGCATACTTCTGCTCTCTAGAAAGACACGATCGAATAGTACCACATGCCATTCTATTGATCTTCTTCCATTCTTTCTCCTCAACATCATCTGGTTTCTCTCCTTCAATAGCAATGTCTAGACCCTGCTGAAATAGGGCATCTAGAACCTCGCTTTGCCACATGCCGAAATGACCGGTGCCATCAAAAATCTCCACTGCAAATCTAACATTTGTCACAGCATTTCTTGCCAAAATTGAAGATGAAGAAGCGTCTGCCATTTCTGCTACAAATTCTATTTAATAGCTGCCAATGCAGAATGTCAATTATCCCAAGGAAATTTTTTCTGATGTGGAAGATCAGCCTAAGCCGCAACCACAGAGCAAACTAAAATAAACCAAGAGCGCTGATACCAATTGTTGTGAAATTCGGGTTAATTTCCACCAATAACAGATTCACCTTGAAAACTATTATCTAGGTGACTAGTGTGAAAACGATTGTACTAAAAATCACCCCAAGGTAGATTCCCAGGAAAGAGGAGGGGTCACAATGGTCCCTCTTAAAACCCACTTTCCTTAGACAGAACTACCAAGACAAGTAATTTTAATAGGACAATAATTGACAACAACTATACCCGACAATAGCTATTAAATAGACATAAAAGAGAACACCAAAATATTTCACTAATAGAGGAAATATTACAAAGAGAGAAAGAATACAAATAGCCTTTAAAATAGAAGAAGGCTTATATTTGTGGGATAATTAACTAAGGAGGAGGATGGCTTTATTTATAACAAAAGAATTTCCCCTCCTCCTTATACACAACCAATGTGGGACTTTTGCCAAAAACCAACATAATCGAGACTCTTTCTGGTCCCCCGTTGATTGAAATTCAAAGGGCGGAGGAGGAGGAAAGACTTGCAAATGAAGTTATCAGCCAACAGAAACCCGGTGCCAAGATTCTTCCAGGACTCGGGACGTCTACCCTCTCATCACCCTCTTCTGTAAGTACGATAGGGAGTGGACGGATCCAGAAAAGTCCCCGAGTAAAAAGCCCTATGCTTTTGATTCTGCTTTCTTCCGAGAAGGATGATAGGGGATAAGGATCGACCGTTTGCAAAAATTGAATCATAAAAATGTCTCTGCTTGGAACATGAAAAGGTTGATTAATATAGTCTGCCTTGGGGCTCTTTCCACTTTAGATGAACAGATACAAGATTCAACTGACAGAGACGATTCCGCGAACCAAATCAGAAATGAACGTAAGGCAAAAGTCACAGCAAGAAAAATCTTCCTGAATGTTACAAAGCCGAGATCCAGGTACGTCTAATTCATCTCGAATCATGTAAATCAGCTTTCTTTTTCATCAAGCCTCCTGGCACCTCCGTTTTTTCAGTTTAAGAATCATAAGGACACTGAATGAGAAGCGAATTACGGTGAATAAGTAGTATAACTATGTATTGCTGTTGTTAGTTTGACCAATGAGTTGCAGGTTTAATGGTAATATGATATTGTCCGTCCGGATCGAGTACTTTAGAAACACCTAAGATGCTTTTCCCTTGTATTATTGCCAATAATTGTCTTCTCAGGTTCATCTACTTGGAGGACATTGAACGTTTTCTTCAAGAAGACGAGGCTTTCAAGACCATGAGTCTCTTTGAAGAAGCATCCGAAAGTAGGAGAATTGATCAGAAGGCCCTGAAGAGCTGGGTGGTGAGACTATATGCAAGCTTATGTTTTTGAAGCAACCGTGCCATTAGGGGATAAAGCAAGGCCTTTTCCCCCCTTCTTTATGTATGCAATAATGTCACGATGCACTTCAATGTAGGCCAATGCGTTCAGAGAACGAAGGGCACTTGCCTTGACACTGAACGATACCAAAACAGCTATCAACAGACTTCATCAGGTAGTCGACGTTCTTGTCGGCATCATTATAGTGGTTACTTGGCTAATCATACTCGAAATCACCACCCGAAAAGTTCTCGTTTTCATTAGCTCTCAACTGCTCCTTGTCGCCTTCGTATTTGACAACACTTGCAAGACAGTGTTCGAAGCCATTGTATTATTATTTATCATGCACCCATTTGATGTGGGTGATAGGAGCGAAATCGATGGAATTCAGGTACTTGAATAAGCATGTAAACTTTCTTTCTTTCCCCATGAATTCTGTTTAACGAAGTATTCTATTAATTGCTTGGGCTCTCAAATGAATTTTGTTTAACGAATTCCAGATTCTTAACCACTGTTTTCCTAAGATACGACAACCAGAAGATCATTATCCCAAACAGTGTGCTGGCTACAAAGGCCATACATAACTACTATCGTAGCCCTGATATGGGCGATGCAGTTGAATTCTGTATCCATGTCAAAACTCCTGCAGAAAAGATTGGTCTAATCAAGAAGAGGATATTCAGGTCAGTAGAAAAGGATGCAAAGAATCTATGAAAATGTATAATTAATGGAAAATATGCTTAACATGTCTGATTCAATGGATCGTTTCTTGCTGCAGTTTCGTCGAGCACAAAAGCGACCACTGGTATCCAGATCCAAAGATTATCTTGAAGGAATTCGAAGAGTTGAATAGAGTGAGGATAGCTATATGGCTCACACATAAAATGAATCACCAAGATATGGGAGAGCGATGGGCAAGAAGGGCACTCTTGGTTGAAGAGATGATCAAGATTTTCAACGAACTGGATACTAAAAACCGCTTATATCCCGTCGACATCAACGTCTGTAGCATGCCTCCAGTGGCATCTGACCGTCCGCATCCTAACTGGACAGGATCGGCCATCTAAACAAGGTAACAAATAAAAACTACATAACCCCCATCTTTGTATGCTCAAGAAATCATACTCGGTACAGTTTTCAAAGTTGCGAGTAGGTTGTCCAGCCTCGTGAAAATTTTCGACTATACTATATATATATATATATATAGTTAAAAGAACTGATAATTTAAAGGAGATCACATGTAACATTATTTGAAGCAAACCTTGTCTCACAAAATCAGAAAGACTTCTGTAAAAAAAACAAGGTTTGATGCCTCATGATGCTTCTGACTTCTGACTCTGCTTGGACAGATCAGCAGCCAAGATACTACTTGTCTTCTGATCCCTGTTGTAACTAATTATCTTCAGCTTGCAATGCTACATCACACAGATCTATAGATAAGACATATCCGGCATTCAGGTTTCGGTAATCACTCAAAATTATCAGGACAAACATGAAGATTATCATAGACAATACGAATATGAACTGAATGTGAAAAACATCGATGAAAATAATGGAATGTGAAACCGCTAGACTTTGTTTTTTTCTAGCTGTTTCGGAGTTCAGAACACAGATTATGAATCATGAAGAAATACAAGCTGTAAATAGAAATAATACCCATTAACAAGCTTTTTTCTAGTACACCTTTTTCGTTCTGGTTTTTTTACTTTATCAACCAAAATATCAACTGCAGGATGACAATGATTTCTACATAGAAGAGAAGTGGCTTAGCCCAGACTGAAAGTAAGTAGCTCAGGCTGGTGCTTGGAAGGATCAAAACCTACATAAATAATAGATAATATGCTAAAAGAACACCTGAGAAGGTGGATCCGAAACTGCGAGAAGAGTAGCTTGTGCATTAGGACTTTACCAGATTATTCTAAATGTCGCCGGTGTTTCGGGTTTGAGCCAGACGCCATGAATTAAAGGGGGTTTTTCATAACGGAGCAGCATAGGTCTGGAACATAAACCACACTATCACATTGATTGCGAGAATCTTTTGGCCAATACAACCCCGAGGCTGTTGGAGGTGAAGGCAGTTGTTGTACAGCCCATGAGGAGTCTGGCACCTGACCCAAGCGCTCATCATCATCTACCTCTTCGTCAGCAGATCTCAAGATTGATGAACTGTCAGAATCTCCAAGCTTGCCACTATCAGCCTGGAAGAATCCAGCAAAAATAACCCAGACACAGAACTCTTAGTTGCATTAGCCAGACATTTCAAATATATATTACAACTACAGCAATAGAAGACAACACTGTAGTTTAATTTGCTAGCTGAGCTGCAACATTAGTTATTTAGTATAATATGACCTATCAAAGAACTCAGTTTGCTTTTTATAGAAAATTTTGTTCAAATCTTCTGTATTTTATGCCAACACATTCAGTTCTTCAAGAGCCATATAAAAATTGGTACAAAAACAACTATAATTTGTACCTTAGATGACCCATCATCCATATAACCATAGCTTTGATTAAAGTCAGTTAGCCCAAATAAATCATCCATTTGCCATGACTGAATGCTTCCAGCTGTAGAACCCCCATCAGCATATGTTACTTTTGTCAGGTCATTGTTCTCATCTCCAACATTTGATGGTAGGACCTCATTGTATCCACCAGAAAAGGCCATTGGAGCCCACCTTCTAGATGTAGAATTAGTTTTAGTTTCTGAAGTTTTTTCACTAGAAGAAGATTTGACATCAGAAGACGATGCACCAGGGTCTGTTGGTGTTTCAAGACCAGCTTTTACTCCGGTAAGAAGAAATCTTTGATGACTAGAGACATAAGGATTTGCTGTATGTATAGCAACATCACATTTCCGGCACAGTAAAGCTCGATCTTGCAAACAAAAGGAAACCCCAGATGCTTCCTATCAAGAAAGGTTGATATGTAAAATTGATTGATTTTAATAAGGAATACTTGCTCCAAAAGGAAAGAAAGAAAGAAAAAAACGAGATAACAACTAGGCCACAAAATCAAGCAGTTCGAATTTCTAGCAACCACAGAACATGTACACGTGGCAGAATTCTGGTAGAAGCCATGCCGCCTTTCTGGCATTGTCGGATCCCAACCAGTAAACCAATAAAGTCACTATTTTTGTTACTCTTTTACCCAAAAATAGATGCTTTAAAAAATTACTATAAGTGTACTTTTATTTATTTTTATCTGATGCTATTTTTATATTTTTATCCAGTCATTTCTTTCATTAAATTTAAAGTTTTTCTATTTTAAATATTTTTCTAAAATTATCGTTATTTATTTTTTTACAATTATTTTTGTGAGAACAATAAATTCATCTCATCATTTTTTTACCATTTTATTAATATAAAATTTTAAAAATATTTTAAACTTTGTAAAATTAAATATAAAAATTGTATTATTTTGTTGGATTTGAGAGCCATGTTTTGAAAATTGGACCGGATCGGTCGGTTCAATCGGGAACCGTTGCCAGGTTCGATTCATTCTAATCCTGTTAAACTACTATTAGTGAACCGCAAGGAACATCTAAATCGACTATGAACCGTTCGAACAGGACTGGACCGAAACTGCTAAGAACCGACCATCAATAAAAAATTAAAAAAGTTAAATTTTCTATTTTGAAGGTTAATCAACTTTTGTTTTGGTTTTAATGTGTAATGTTTAGAGATTTTTATTAGAAGTAAATCAAGTAATGAATGATGAAATTTTGGTGTTGTATTTAAGTATTATAATTGTGGGGATATTTTTAGTTTTTTATTAAAATTTTTTGGTATTTTTTATTTAATTTTTTAAATAATTATGATGTCGTCTGGTTCTTTCGACCGGTCTAATCGGTTGAACCAGTGAACCAGTAACACAATCGGTTCGCTAACCGGTCCGATTCTAAAAACCATATTTGAGAGATTCGAGATAGCTATTTAAAAATTTAAACAATGAGAAATATTCTTTTAAGAAGACAAAGAATATATATTTAAAATTAATCTCATTGAGAAGTTGTCGAAACATATTAGAATATTAGAAAATTAAAAAATTGAATGGGATTTCATTAATTTTGAATAAAATTAAATATAAAAAGTAAATGGTGAAAAGCAAATATTAAAATATCAATTTTCTCACGAGCGACACTCAACAATGAGTAATGATTGAACGAAGATGATAGTTTTAGAAATTTAGGGTTTTTAAAAAAATGTGAAGAACAATTACAACATTACACCTTTAATCATTTAATGCTTTGATAATTAAAATTAATTTAAAACATTAGTGGTTTAATAAAAAAAATTATAGTTTAGTGACCGAAATAAGAAAATAATAAAAGTTTAGAGACAAAATGATATGATTTATCTTAATAAATATATCTTGAAGGTACTAAACTAAACCTTTACCATTTTTAGGGTTCAAAACGAAATTTCACCATTTCATTATGTTGCCTTAACTTTGGGACTAAACTGCAGTTTTACCATTGACGCCGAGATAAGTCCAAGCATATTACAATAACGAACCTATTCAAATACTCAAAACTGAAGAATTTAAAAGCAATATTACGCGCCAAAGTGATATTTTCAATTCAAAGCTTTCACCATCGAAGAAAATGGCAGAGAAAGGAGATTCGTTTTCTTCCAGATAATATTCATGATATTTGAAGGTAAAACTCAAACTTCTTCGATTTCAACTTCTTTTCCTCGGCGTTCTCGGTATCTGCGTTCGTTCGCCGTTTTCATCTCATTTCCACCATTTCTTTTAAAAAAAATCTTAGTTGATCTATTAACTGTGAAGTTCTAGGTGTTTTAAAATATTTTTCTTTGTTATTTTAGATCAAGTCGCTAGAGAATCCGTTGATTTGGAAGGAATTGCTGGTCAACTTGTGGATAAAAGGTTTGATTATCACTCTGTTTGGTTACTAAGAAAATTTAGGAAGACGAATATCAGAGAACTTGGAAATCTCGAACTGAATATTTGCATTTACCATGTTTAGAACCTGATGAAGCTGAATCATCAGGTGATTTGGTTGAGCATCTTAGAAATATTTGAACCGGTGTGATTTTTTTTCTTTTTTTGCTGATGAGTTGCAATGCCAAGAAACTCTAGGGCTTTAAATTTTCCTTAAAACCTGACGGTTAATTATCAAAATCTGACTATGAATTAGTTCTGAATTACATTTTCCCTAAAATTTCATGAAATTTTCAAGCTTCGGTGATAATTTAATTTCTGTTGCTTATTCATATAAAATTTTCAACTTACTAGTTTAGGTACTATCCGATCATCACTTTGGTAGTTGATTTTTATATTCCAAAAGAAAACAAAACTTTTGAAAGATTTACAATAAAAGGAAAACAGATTTTGAAAAGAAAAAGTTTTGCTTTGTGATTAGAACTTGTTCACCCATTTAATTTTTTTATAGCAATTTCTTACTTTCAGGAAACTAAATTAACAACCAAACATAGGATAAGATTCTTTAGGATATTGATAAGCTCCAGAAAGTCTTTCTTATTGGGACCAAAGCTTTGTTCCTTTCAATTCATGAAACAACAAGCTGTAGCAGTCATTGACTTGTAACTTTATGAAGGAGGGGCATATGCTACTAATAGAACCTCGCCCTGATTGTTGCTTTTGATATGCAGACAGATTTATGATTTAAAGACAAATACAATCAATTGAAATGAGATGCAATGCCTGCTGGCGTGAATTAGAAGGGCGAGCCATTTCCACTACATGTGGTCACCTCTTGTGTATCCTAACTATTTTCATCGATCTGCTGTAGCAATAGGATACATTTCATCTTGTTGTTTCCATTGTTTAAGATTGAGAAACAGTTAATGCATGAAAAGATTCCTTGACACAGTTAATAGGTACTGAAGATGCAAGCAAGATCCTTAGCAATGATGCAGCATGCCCCATTTGTGATCAAGTTCTCTCTAAGAGGTGAGAATTTTATCTGGTGGAAGCTGGCCATTATGATGCTTTCCAGAATTTTCATTTTTCTAACCTAATGAAATAGAATTGCACAATGTAAAATTTTAGTTATTGCTTATTTGGAAAGAGAGGTCTATCGAAGAATTTGAGTGTTTATTGATTATACAGGTGAGGTTGATAATCTGTTAACAAGCATAGGATTGTTCTGCGTAGCTTTTAGTTTTATTTACTTTGATGACGTGTCTTATTGATTTTAATTCTACTTTTCTAATCTTGAAATTTGATTCCCAGTCTTATGAAGCCTGTTGATATCAACCCAAATGATGAATGGATAAATGTAAGCAAATGATTCACTTGGATTATTACATACAGCTTGCTCTATTGTTTAAAATATTTCCCTGGTAAAATCTGCACCATGCTGCTGTTTTCATTTGCCTTCTATTGTGATGCTTCTTTACTTGTCTACTTGTTATTTTGCTCGCTTACATGATGTGTTTACTGCAGATGACAATGGCCGGTGTCTCTCCACAGATATGTATCCTTCATAATATAGTTCACACGATTTTCCTATTACTTGATATGTTTCTGTACTGTTCTGTATCATTTGAAAGATTTTGCAACTGAGAGAGAGAATGGAATCTGATCGGCCTGAAAAAACTTTTAGACGTCCATATCCTTAATGAATTTAGCGATGAAGAGTGCATGCAGAAGTGTGATGTTTTACATTGGGCAAAAGGAAATAGAAATGCAGTACAAGATGAGCAGAATAGCAGCTCAGTACCGGCAGAAATGTGAGGCAATGCACGAAAAGTTCTCAGAGAAACTGGATCAGGTGCATACTGCATATCAGAAAATGGCGAAGAGGTGTCAGATGATGGAGCAGGAAATTGAGAGTCTAGCAAAGGATAAGCAAGAGCTCCAAGAAAAGTTCTCTGAGAAATCAAGGCCAGTCTAAATTCTATTGTTTGAACTTGTTAATTCTTTTGGCCAAAATATTATGCTTCTTGAACCCTGCTAACTTCAAATATCACAAATTCCAGACAGAAGAGAAAGCTTGATGAAATGTATGATCAATTGAGGAGTGAATACCAATCAGTGAAACGGTCAGCCATCCAACCTGCAAACAATTTCTTTGCCAGAAATGAGCCTGACTTATTCTCAAATCCAACAGCTAACATGATGGATAACAGAGATCCCATTCGAAAGGGTAATCATGTTCTTTTGTTAACTTCATATAATATTAAGCTGCCTACCTTGTGTCAAATACTCGAATGCTAAAATAGATCATTCAACAAGCTGAAAAACCTTCCACTAAAAGCCTTTAAACAGTTAATATTTTCCTAGGTTCCTGCTATCGTGATTTCATTCCAATGTATAGTAGGTCATTTTTGCTTAATTATCCCCCTCCCCAGTTAACTTAATTGTTGCAGATTGGTCGGTTTTTTCTCCTGGAACTCCAGTGCATCGAGAGGACGTATGGCCAGCAAGACAGAACAGTTCAAACTCTGCTCCTTTTGACATATCAAGTGGCTCACCAGCAAAGCAAGCAGACATTCCGGTTAGGCGAGGTGCCGGTGCTCACCCTGCTTTTGGAAATTCTGCCGCTAATCCTTCAATGACTTTGAGGAACCTGATAATCTCTCCTATAAAGCGGCCTCAGCTCTCTCGTAACCGCAGTAGCCTTTTTTCTTAAGCGAAAAAAATGTAGGCATGCTCAATTTACTTTGCATTTTTCATTTGCTGAATTTAGGTCTAGATTTTCCAGATCATAGACTCTCACGGGTCACCCAAATGAAATGTGGCCATTATCGATTGCAGCACTATATGAGGTCTATCGAATTGTAAGATCTTTTAATGTGAAGAATTGTGATGGAATGCGTGGCTAAGCTTGAATCAAACTGAAAAATTGAGATGTCATGGGATAGGTTGCATAAAATTCACGAGTAAACTCTAATATTTTCACTTTAAGATGTACCTTCTGAATTCGAATTTAAGATTTCTTCATAGAAGAATATTGTGTAGTTTCGAAATCATCTACTTTTCGAAAGTTTTGGTTCGAAACTGAAGAAACGCATCTTAAGATGATGAAAACTTACAAGATTTATTAAAATTCAAAAAGAACAATAACGAATTGTACTCGTGATACTTTTTGTGACTCGACCTGAACC